CCCTCTCCACTGAGACAAAACCACCATTAACTGGTTCTTTGTTATGCTGGTTTCCTGCAGTAGATTTGATAGCGCCTAATAGTTGTAAGGACTGGATTACAGTGCAATATACAAAAAGGAGTTTGTTTTCAGCCCTGTGCGAGGCTTGCTATCAGATTTTGAACATTATTTTCAGAAGTAGCCTTCCTTAGCAGATGTTTTCTGGGATGCAGTTAGTGTTCAACTTGCCAGGTGCCTGATGTGCAACGCAGTGACATTACCAGGCTGATTACTTGGACAGCTCTAAAGTGAAGGCATCTGGTTAGGACTGTTGGCTAGTGAGAAGAAAAGGCACTAATTAAATATTTCTTGCCTTTTCAGGTTTGTCTCTCTGATTAGCCACTCTAAAAATCACTCTGGGGAAAACCACAAAATTATCTTTAAAACAGAGAGGCACAATTAAACAGCTCCAGCAAAACTAGCAGGTTATTGCTGTACTCTCTTAACCCTTTCAGTCTGGCAGAGGAAAGGATGAGTGATCTCATGCATGGAAGTTGCCAAAGAATCTCATTGCCACACATCATTTGACCAAATTTACTTGCTTTCCCAAGCAACATCTGCTATCAAATACGTATCCCTATCCACACACATACATGGATATCTATTGTGCACCTTCTTTAGTAAACTGTTATCATTGCCAGTTTCTTACACTTGAACCTTTCACCTTGTTTTCAGTGAAAACAGATCCAACATGCAGATCACGAGAGCTCTAACTTTATTCTTCCAAATTACACACATGCTAACTAGGAAGCTCCTTAGTGATTAGCATTTCCACTGGTCTTTTATCAAAGCCATAGCTTGGGGGGATCTTTTCATCTCTTTCTTATTAGCTAATACCTTGGAGGTCTTTACTCAGTTTCCTTGCTTGCTGCTGCCAAAATTAAAGCCTTAATTCCACAACAAGATCTATGCTAAGTTCACAGTGTCACAGACTTGTTCTGTGACCTTTGGCAAAGAACTTAATCACAAGCTTTTATACGGCTGTGGTTTCAGCAGTATATTTATAGGGTCCTACATGTTGCAAGAGAAACCTCTTTTATCAGTGAAAATATAACATAATCAGTGCCAGTTCACCACTAATATAAAAATTGCAGGTAATGCTTTCATTCTTACATTTCATTTATATACTTGGTAACTCTTTGAATGGGATAACTCAGCAATCTTCTAAAGGATGCACGTACACAAAACCTGCACGATGGCCTCCAGTTGTGACAAGGGCCCCTATGAAAATACAAATATCCTTTGGCAGGATTTTTTTAATTAAATATTATTTCTGGGAAAATATTCCTATCTACTGACAGGGGTACTCTCAAGTAGACTAAGTCAGAAAGTAAAAAATTGTTAGATTTGCTAGCTATGGTAAAGGACATTAAATGGGACATTGCAGGTTTTTAACCCCAGATAGGCTGTAAAGCTTCAAATGCTTTAGTTGTTCATTTCCATTTCATAGCTCCTATAACCTTTAAGATATTGTCAAGATTTCTGCACATCAAAAGCACACCAAAGTCTTAGGTAAGAGGTACACCCAAATTTCCCAGTTTGGAATTTAAATAAAATTATCTAACAGCTCTTGAAAAAGAAACCCTCAATGGTACAAAATATAACTGCCTCTCCAAGCCCACATCTCTATTTGAATGTCCTTGTGACAAGACCTGAGGGTATTCAGAGTGAGATGGAGCTGCTTTTACCTTTAGCATAAAGCACTCCAAAAACACCAACAACCCTTTTGATCTTCAAAAATAGTGTTATTAGACTGCAGCCTACAGCAAGATTTAAAAAACAAAACAAAACAAAACAAAAAACCCACCAAAATAGCAAACCCACACCACCTCAGTTCTGATAGGTGAAACATGAAAATTGCTAACAAATCTCCTCCCTGCTCATTATGTCTGTGCATGGCACAGCCTTTCTTCTTCCCTTGCTCTTAGTCCAGCAGGGCTTCCCAAAGTTACAACAGTCTGTAGCTACAGAGGCTCCTTTGGATCCCCAGGAAATTTTCCTTTTTCTCTTCCCCTTTGAAACTCAGATGTGAGTCTTTCTACAACTCTCCTCCACATCCCCATCTGTGCTGCAAAATCCCAGCTTGCTGTCTCCTTCCTGCCTAAATCCTCCCCTGGGAACTTCCAAATGAGCTTCCTGGCACTGCCTTTGCCTCACCCCAAGAAAACACTCAGTCAGACTCAATATTCAGTGGCAGACAGGACAACACAAGGAAACAGTCCTTCTGCTGCATAGCCAATTCCTATTACCAGAAAGGCCAGCAAAATACAATAAAGGGTGATGAAACACATGCAAAAGGCATCATCTCCATCAGAGCTTGGAAAACAATGATGTGCTTTTTGGGCTGCACTAAGATGGTTCACTCACCAGAAACCTGGTTTTCCAGTGCTGTCTATATTGCTACCAAAAATGTCCCTTATACCAGTGAGTACATTTAATTGTGCAGCTCACTAATATCAGACACTAGGGCTGTTTTGTACACTTACCACTTTTCTGCTTAGCACAGAAGGAGCCATTTCTGTAAAATCAAGTTTAATCTTACCTTTGACGGATCTTGCTCTTGTTTGTATGGAACTTTCGTGGAGGGGTCTATCTCCAACACATTGATCCACTGCAGAAATGCTACAGAAAAATCAGAACAGGGTTTGGGATGTTAAAAATATACAGCCTAGGTGGTCCCAAACACAGGCACATCCCTTCAAAATATTACTCTGATTTTGTGATATTAAAGATTGAGTCGTTATTCATTTATTTGAACTCTTACTCTGAGATGTCTTAGAGAAGACCTGGCAGAACCCAATCTTCACTGTATTTAAACATATTTTCTGAATCCTTATCTGTTCAGATATGGTTTACAGAGACTCATGTCCTGGTTTTTGTCAAAGATAACTGAGGGGTTCACAGGTCTAAACATAACTCTTCATATCAGCAGTAAGACTCGAGGAAACTCTGAATTGCAGCACTTTATACTGAAGGGATCCCTAAATGATTCTTTTCTTCTCACAATCATTCAAGAACTTGAAAGTCCAGGCAGTAGCCTCAAATATCTCATTCCCATAAATTTAACAGAGGTCACAGCATGGCCAATTCAGCTGAAAAGTGTTATTACAGAAAAACTTGATGATACTTTTATGTTCACTGATGTGAACATAATTCTCTGGGTCTTTTAGCTACGTATAGCATGTCTTATCCATAGAGACACTTCAGCAGATATATACGGTACCGTGAGCAAAGTTAAAAGTGATGAATTCTCTGATTTATAACTTCTACTGATAAGAAGACAGAAAATCTTGGATGTATGGCTGTTATTACATACACTGTGTAACTTCACCCAGCAGAGAAGGGATGGGAAAGACTAAAATATTTATCACACCTGAACTAGGGGAACACTTCCTTGAATGACCCTTGTTGCCTGTAAAGAATTGAGCTGATCTCTAACCAATGCACAAAAATCTTAAAGATAGGGTTAGCTCCGTAGGTGTTAAGTGTGGATGTGGGTCTATAATCCTTCTTGCTTTTAAGGATCACACATGGGAAAAAAGATGCATATAGAAAAAGAGCTTTTTTTCTTGACAGATTTAATCTTCTAAAGCGATCAAACTGCTGAATCGACATTACACCTCCTAAAGATCAACCACTGGGTCTTTAAGTAGAACTAATTATTACAACTCAACTCGTTAGTGATGAGGAACAATACAAACAGGACAGATCCTCCTCCTTCCATTTTAAAGCTTCGGTGACTGGCCTCAAATGAGAGTCCCTTGGTTATACCCCATTTAGAGCAGAGCCTGCACTCGCACATCAGTGCTGTAAGGGTCCTCAGCACCGGTCTCAATGTGATGCAAGAGTTTAAGCACACAGTCTAGAGAAATATTAATTTGTTAATCTTCATTAGAAATCTACTTTTAAAGCTGATTTACAGTGAAGTCACTTAGTCAGATGAAATCATTGCACACTAAACAATCCTGTTAGGGAGGTTTATCCAAGCAAAGGACATTCAATTGCATTTTCATTAGTAGCACTATATGATTAGCGTCCTTAAAGCAAGGCTCTCAGACTCAATCTATTTGTTTACAGTTGTATTTAATTGCTTACAGCTGAGTTTTCTTAAGAACTAAAAGCTAATTTTTACAACTCTATAGCATTACAAAATCAGGTTGCCCGTAGATTAATGAAACAAAGATTTGAAGATTGAAGGTGGTCCTGCCCAGTATCGTAGCTCTACCAGTGTTGAGAACTCTCCAAAATGTCAAGGAGTTGTGGGTTATCTAATTCTAATGAAGCACATTATGAAACAGAATAGTATTTAATGAGAAAGCCACTGGCTGTGATGAACAGCAGGTGATTTATCTATCAGGAAAAGAGTATTTTTTTTAAACAGAAAAAATGATGTTTCTCTCTGCTAAATTCTATATGCCTCAAGAAGATGGGAAAGATGCTTGATCTCATCCTTTTACTGTCTATAGCAGTTCTCTGGAAGGACAAGCCCTCCCATTAAAGGAGGTGGACTGGTTTCCTTGCCTTGTGTCACTCTCTGCTGTCCTACCCGTGGGACAAAAGCAGTAGAGCCCAAGGCAGAGTTCACCACTGGCTGACTGAAATAAGTAAATAGATGTCTGAGACTGTTCCTTCAACCTCAAGACAGCCACAGATTTGAGGAGTCTGAAGTTGAGCCTTTATTTTGGAAAATGGAGAAAAAGATAGTTTCTTTCCTAACAGTGCTTTTCAGTTTTTAGTTTATTATCTGCTCTCTTGACTATCCCCTTCTGGGAAGATGACACTGCATTATATATGATGTTCACATGCATTTGCACTGATTTTTGCAGTGCTAACTCTAGTTAAAGTCAGGGTATATTTTACTTAGAAGACAGTTTCCTCCATTTATCAGTTACAAAAAGCATTTCTACCTAACGAAATGTTTATTATAACATTAGTAAATCACATTTTTGTTTCTTGTACAGCTTTGCAACCAAGGCTGTGCTATAGACGTTTCCTGTACGCCATCTTCAGAAGATGCTTGCAGTATCGCCAGTTTTATTGAGACAAAGCTTGTAATCTGCTACTTAAAGCTGGGGAAGCCTGACGATGCTCTGAATCATTCATACAGGTAAAAATAAATATTGATTAGATACAATGCTAAGAGTAAAATCAAAAACTAAACAAAGACTATGAAAAAAAACTTGTCCAGGAAGAATCAGAAGAGGAACCCACGAAACAACACATGGCACTGATGTTTAAATTGAACTAATTCTCAAAATTTGAGATATTAAGCCACAATAGCCATGTATGCATTTACTGCTTTGATAATGCAGGAGATAAGGATATGCAGGTGAGTCACAAACATATTCCAGGGCACCCTTAAGACTGAAGCTAAAACAAATACACGCTCAATCTTATATGACAGTAATGATAGTATGAGCTCTTGATCTCCTTCAAACCAGTTTAGGTCAGTGATGGCTTCCAATTATTTTCATTATGTAATTCCTCATCATGGGCTTACTTGTGATCCACAAAGACGAGCACCACCAGCAACACATAAAGAAGCCAGAAACAAAAAACTTACACATGGTGGAGATGACATTCCCATTAGTTTCAAATGGGTTAGGATTTTGCTGGGTTTGTACTGCCTTTAATTAGCATTCAGGCATAACGATAGTTTCTGTTAAGCGCGTGCATGTCCTGCCAGCAACACTTCATCACTGAAGTCTCTCATCATTTTTTCCCTTGTATGAGATGTATTAGGATGGACACTTCAATTAGTGCAGGGTGAGGATTTTCTCATACAATCATCTTGAATGTAACTACAAAAGAGCAGTTACAACAAAAGAGGAGGCATGTGTTGGTGCCTAACGCACAGGAGTCAGCGGCGAAGAAAAATGCATCGATACAGAAGTGCGATGCCATCATGGCAGCAGGTTCTTTTAGCTACATGCAAAGTCAAGGGAAGTCTGAGAATCCTGACCTAATGACAAGGTCTTTGTCTCCCATTCCCACTCATCCCCACCCCTTTCCTGCCGTGATTGAGAGACGGGGCACTTTTTGTCTGTAAAGCCATGCCTACCTGCAGCCTATTCGCATTGTGGGGGTGCATCCTTCAGACTAGTTCCAAGTACCCATCTGGGTTGGGGGTCTGAATGCTCACGAGTGGTCAGACAGCAGTAGGTGCACTCCCAGGGCACATCCAGTGGGCACACAAACTCTATTTCTTCCAGGTGGAGTATTCTGTTAGGTAAGCCAAAGCATAGGGCGTGGGCAAGACTGAGATTCGTGTTAAAAATGAATAAATAGAAAACAGTAACAACAACAACAAATGCACTCCTTGTACAAACTAAAAGCCAGCCACATTTTTTCCACAGCTTTTCAAAGATAATGTTAGAAAAGAAAAAAAAAAATACATAAAGTTTGACTGGACTCCTAACTTTTGGAAAAATGGTAACGATCATTCTCTTATTCTAACTGTGATTTCCAAGAATACTAAAATAAGGAAGCTATTTAGACAGTATAAATATAACTGGAACAGGAAATAATTTTCTTTACCACCTTTAAATTATCTTGGTTTCAAACTAGTAAGATGTCTTGACCCCAGTGCTACAGAAACTAAAGCCTATTCAGACATGCCTTGGTTTCAGTTGTCTTAAAACAGAAACTATGCCCTACAGAGAAAATAAACACAGTTAGACTGAGATCACTGGAAAACTGAAGCAGGGAAAAAGCCTTCACTCTTCTTTTTTATATATAATTACAACAATTTGTTCTTAACTCCTTCAGTTACATGGCACAAAGAAAAGTGGCAATCAGTAATGTCTATTTTCAATACAATTCATTTAATAACTTGCAGAATGGGAATAAATCTACTGACCATGGCTGTCACATTGTAAAATGCAGGAACTGATACAATAGTATACCAGTAAAAAGTATTCTGGGGCATAATTAACATAGAGACAAAACTTGAAATATAATCAATAGCTATATTTTCCAAAAAGAACAAATAAATTACTCTGACCTCCCCTACTAAAAATAGCTTACTGCCATCAGTTAACTAGTGCATATAGAATTTTTATTCCCATCGAGTTTTTATGTCATCACCACATTGTAATGGTTTGCTGGTAATCCTTTGGCATTAATCATGAATTCAAATTAAAGTATTCCTTTCTGCATTTATTTGCATTTACTGAACTATTCTTTCTTTAATTTCATGTAAATTTCACAGCTCCTGCATTCATTTCTGAAGCCTTATTAACCAAAAATCAGCTTTAATATTCTCACACATAATCATATCAAATATATCAAAGTGGGTTTTCCTAGGAAGAAGTCTTATGAAATACCATAACTAGAGAAATAGTGAAAATGGAGAAAAATTCCAGCAGCTTGGTTTTAAAGTGTTCAAGAACAGGCATCTTCAGGGGAATAGCTTTCCCATTCTTAAGAAAGGGAAGGGAATACAATTTATATCATCAGCTTTAGATCCTGTATGAGAAGCCAAGTCTGAGTCCTCCTGAAAAGTGAAAATTGTATTCTCTGGTTTCTTAATATCAAAATTTAAGGCTGCCTTGAGCATTGCTGGCACCATTGAGGACACTGGCTGGGTTCTGATCATTTGTCAGGCTGATACAAAAGATTTACCTTTTGCAGTCAAACACTATTAAAACCACTTCTCATCTGTCACAGCTCTGAACAAACATGCCATGGACTGACCCCACCAAGCAACATCTGCAGTAACCTACTTGACCATCACTTTTTCATCATAAGATAGTCATCAAAATAATTCCTAACTTGCAGTCTGAAGCTATAAAATGAATCACACAATATTTACATGCCCTGTGGTTCTTTTGGCCCAGGCATTAAGGCATACCAGGGTTTAATGATCTTAATAACCCCATATGGCTTGCTGAGAAATTAGATTTTCCCTTTGGTAGCAGAAGGCAGTTTTCAATTATAGCAGATGGCAAAACAGTGAAGGTCTGAGAAGTCAAGAACTGACTAAGAAACCTCAGATTAGTACTTAGGCCTTATGTTGCTCAGCCTAATAATAATGCCGGTGGTTGAATTTTTGCCCCAAATGAAAACAATCTTGAAGCACAGCACAGCAATTCAGCAGAGCAATCCCCCAATTACGCCTGGTCTTCAGAGCTCCAGGCCCAACAGAGAAAGCCATAAAGCTGCAGCTGCATGGGAGAAAACAGCCCACAGTGCATCACATCCACAGCGCAGCAACTGCTAAGGTTCAATTTTGTTTGAAATTGGAGAGAGCAATGCTGAACTCCATGACAATTGAAGATGGAGGGTCCTTCAAAACATGATATACATGACTTTCTTGATGACACTCTACATCTCCGTAGCTTCCTTGTTTATTTTGCTTTATTCCTCTAAGCAAGCTAAATAGATCTGCACTGACACCGTATGACTTGCTGTTTGCACCTGGGAACATAACAGAACCCTTCTACTGGAAATGTGCTTTTTGCTCCTGCATTTACACTTCCTCAACTGCTGTGGTCCTCATGGCACACAAGATTTGAAGAATGACAGACATGGGGCTCAATCCAGTTGCTTAAACATAGATTGCTGCTCATAGAGATCCTGTGCATGGATCGAGCACTAGAAAATCTTGGTGTTGTCCTGTGCAGGGACAGGAGGTGGACTGGATGATCCTTGTGGGTCCCTTCCAACTCACAACATTCTGTGATTCTGTGGGAACAGGGAAGAGGTTAACGTCACCTACCCAGCAGCAAGTGACAAAAAGCATTTTGTTTCACTTCTGCCCACTTTTGATCACTCCCTGCCCAGCTGCAGTGGGGCTGCTGGTACCGTAGCCTCCCCGGAAACCAGCTCCCCAGCAGGGTATGAGGCTGCCTGCCATAGGGGAAAAGTCACATCTCTTCCCAATGGAATTGCCATCATGCCATAGGAAGCCCACAGCTGGTGGTGGGAGGTGGATTGGGAAGTGCCTTCTGGAAGGATGTTTGCTACCTGCCTTCTCCCAGAACATCCCCAGGCTCTGCTCCCTGCCCTCCTTCCCTTGATCTAGAAATTGTGGACGTAAGGGCTGAGTGGAAGAAGAGCAATCAGACATTGTGGCAGGTTTCTGTAACATTATCTCTAAGTAATGCCTGAAAAATATGTTGATGCTAATGAGGACTGCTGTATGGAGCTATGCAAAATCTTTGGGGGTTAAAGTAAAGATTTTCCTGTGTCCTTGCAGACTCTGCTCTGCAGCATGACCCGCTGCCAATTTTCTCCTTCCCTCCCAGAAAGGCAATGCATAGAGAATGTAATAAATCTGCAAAGCTTTTTCTGCTATGCCTTTTTATGTGTTTGGTGGAAGGCAGGGCTGTCTAATGCCTCTTGCACAATTCACAGGGAGACACATGAAGTAGAAAATAGCACCTCTGTTAAATAACACACGATTGCTTTAGCGATGACTTAACAGAGGGAATCTCTTATGGAGGTACAGTGGGGAAAAGAAAAATCTAAACCAGCTGAAACCTCACAGATTTAATTCTAAATCCCAGTGACTTTTCAAACACTTACAAAAGGTTTAAAATAATTATTAATGATCAAGCTTTATGCAATAGCTGTTAGAAAATAAGGCATCTCAAAACTTGGTCAGTGCATTATAGACAGGATAAATCAGGAGTCTAATCCAGATTAATTCAGAAGTTTCAGGCTAAAAATTCAATATTCAGCTACTTCTTCATTCCCTAGCTTCCTTATTTTGCACCTTTAAAAAAGGACTATATTAAAGTAAGTTGAAGAATGGAATTCTAGTGAAATATTAAATAATCAAAAATAAATAATGCAATGATGCTATGATACAGTGCAGGCAGTGGGCATTAAAATGGAGACAGACTAGAAGAGCAGCTCAAGAAGAGCACAGATTTTTAGGCAGAAGTAGAAAAAGGAGAAACATAACGGTTGATGCTGCTAATCTGGGGGAAGCTTGTAGTGTAATGTATACTTTGCTCTAAACTATTCTCCTAATCTCTTTACCTCCTCAGAAAAGGAAAGAAAGAGAAGAATTAGCAGCTCCTAATTACTTCAGCAATTGTGTTAGGCATATTGCAATATACATAATAGATGAGATATTATTAATAAAAAGCTATTCCATTG